CGGACCAAAGCTAGAGGATAATAAAATAAATGCCTGTGAAAAGACGTGCGGATAAGATGGTGTTTGCTTAAAATTTTGTTTTCCAGGAAAGACAACTCTGAGCATGCTCAACCTATTTAATCTAGCTGAATCCTCGGTGCGTGTATACTCACAGCATGATCGGATCATTTCAGTTAGTGTCCATGTAAACAGAGGTTTGGGATTTCTGATCAGCCAAGACTTAAATCTGATAGGGAAAAGTTGGCGAACGTAAACTAATGTGATTGTTACTGACTTCAATTTATAAGCCTGATACTTAAAACCCATGTTTCAGAACCGAAGAAACCTCTTGGATGAGAGGGTGAAACATCTTCAAGATAACAAGAAAAGTCCTTTTTTTTTTCATTTAACTCAGGACTACCGTGACCTGTGACTGAGAATCTAAGAATATGAAAAATTCTCTGCCAAAAAGTTTAGAAATGTAAATGCAATCACACTAAAAGTAATTTGTATGTAAAAACACATTCTCTCTCTCTCTCTCTCTCTCTCTCTCTCTCTCTCTCTCTCTCTCTCTCTCTCTCTCTCTCTCTCTCTCTCTCTCTCTCTCTCTCTCCTCTCTCTCTCTCTCTCTCACTCTCTCTCTCTCTCTCTCCTCTCTCTCTCTCTCTCTCTCTCCTCTCTCTCTCTCTCCTCTCTCTCTCTCTCTCTCTCTCTCTCTCTCTCTCTCTCTCTCTCTCTCTCTCTCTCTCTCTCTCTCTCTCTCTCTCCTCTCTCTCTCTCTCTCTCTCTCTCTCTCTCTCTCTCTCTCTCTCTCTCTCTCTCTCTCTCCTCTCTCTCTCTCTCTCTCTCTCTCCATATATATATATAAATGTGAGTGGATACATTTTTCAAGTGGTTAAGACTATAGCAAAAATTTATCAGCAGTCTGCAACTGATGTCCATTTTTGTAAACTTCCCCTTGCCAACTTCCAAAGGTTCTCAATTGAACGTGAGAGCTGATTGGTTAAAAACCAGCTCCCCTGCTTCAAAGTATAACAAATACCAGTTCTACCGATTCTGATGGCCTTTGGCAGATTAGATTCCCCTTGCAACAACAGACGCTAAAATCTGATAAAACACAGATAATTCACAGATACGGTATGTACAGGATGCGACACAACAAAGAGAAACATTCTCAAAATGAGAAGATGATAGAGTGTAACATGGGTGCCAAACTGTAAATGTGCTGATTCTGATGATGGAGATCACCACAAACACCTGCCTGGCCGTGTTACAAACTTTTATCAAAGACACATAACGAATAAATCTCTGCTTCTGTTGATCACAGCAGGTCGGCCCCTCTCTCGTCATGGGGTGCTGTCCTGTGCTTCTGGTTAAATGATGTCAGTAATTTAGTCTACAGCTCCAACTTTGGAAATATTTCGGTATATTAGAACACGACTAGGGACCAAAATAACACTAATTTAACTATCAACTTGATTTAGTCATGTTTAGGTGCGTCTCTGTAAAAGCCCTTCAAACACAAAACACAGCAGTACTTACTGAGATGTCCCTCTGCATCTTCTCATACATCAGGGTAACAGTGGAGCTGCGGTTCGGTGGGTCCGGGGTCAGGGTAAAGCTGTACAAGGCTGAGTTTTCAGCTTCCATCAGAGCCTCCTGGAGGTCAAGGATGTACTTCTCCTTCTGCATCTCCAGCTCCTCTGCCTCGCGTTAATTGCTTCTTCGCTCACTGCACAAACAAAAACACGACATTACATTTATGAAATTAGTGCTTTAGCTATCACTATACTCAACTTTAATTGATGCTTTATAGTTCAAAGGATCCCCCCAGAGGCAGTGCAGCTACTAGGTATGTCATTTTAGTTATTTTACAGTTTTTATTATTTTACTGTTCTATTTTTGTTGCATTTCTCTGTAATTGATTTGAAGCACTCAATAAACCAACTTCCTTCTTACCTCCCACTGACTTTTGACATGAGCCAGAAACACGTTCATGTGAATAAGTAAGTAAATCCTCTTCATTGTGATGCTTTTGAGCATGAAAACACAATCAAATGAATGATTGTTTCTGGGTTTTAAAAACTACAGAGAGAAAAAAAAGTCCACGCTCATTTAATTCTGAGGCACCAGCATCATAAAAACCATCTGGTTTTAAATAGAGTTAATCAAATATCAAATCTAATCACTAATCAAAAATCAAGCAGCTTCCACCTTTTCGTTATTAAACAAAAACAAAGACTAAGAGGAAAAGCTGAGTGAAAAAGTAAATTCATTCCATGTTTCAGAGGATCACAATAGACTCTAGAACACAGTTAATCATGTTGGATTTAACGACTGCAAGTTGCCCAAACCATCACCTGCAACCACCGTGCTGACAGCTGGTATCAGCTATTTGTGCTAATATTTTCTTTTTGACTTTGCCAGAAGATTACACCATGTATGTTTATTTATTTATTTGGCTAACTTAATTTATTCAAAGCAACCTAAAGCTGAAAATGTAACAGTGCAGCTAGCCAAGCAGTCAGTTAACCATGTACGTTTTTAGCATGTGGGAGGAAACCAGTGTACTGTACAAGCATGGGGAGAGCATGCTAACTCTGCATTTGGTTCCACCCTAACACTAACCCTGGACAGGGTTCTTTTAAGGTTATTTCTTCACTCCAACAAGCTCAGATATCTGGTGCACTTGCTTTTCTGACATGTCCTCAAACAGTAGCACATGTAAGACCTGCTAGACCGGAGGTAGGCAACCCTGGTCCTGCTTGTTTTCCAACTATCTTTGTTGTTCCTGCTGTTGATTACCTGGATCAGGTGTGTTCAGCCAATTAGAAGCTTCAAGTTCATGCATGGCTGAAAAACATGCAGGACTACAGCTCTTTAGGACCAGGGCTGTCCACCCCATGCTAGACCAACATAGTTCACACAAAAAAATGTGAAAGGTGTGTGTTGTCAAACAGGTACGGCAGTCTAGGCTGCAGATGAGCATGTCATTTAAAAAATGCTGAAAGGTCTGGCTGAATATTTTACCTTCACCTCTCCATGCGTCCTGTCCATCAGTCAGCAGCAGCTGGAAGCCTGAAGATAAGCTCCGCCCCTCCCAGTCCACCCGCAGGAAGAACGAGGAGTCCGATTCAGGTGGGAGGCAGATTTCACGCACTGACGTGTGCATCCTTGCAAACACACACACACACACACACACACACACACACACACACACACACACACACACACACACACACACACACACACACACACACACACACACACACACACACACACACACACACACATACACACACACATTACAAACCTTCACTCCAACATATGCACACACATTTCCATTATTCCACAGTAATTATGTTGCCAAGCTCATATTTTTGCATCTAAAGTGTGAAAAAGTGTGTTCATACAGCTGATCTCTGAGCAGGAAATATTCGGTGACTTGCTAAACTCCAGAAAGTTGCGGGAAGTGGCCATGGTAACAGTCTACAATATTGTTTTTCCAAGAAAGAAATAATTCAAATGAAGCAAAGTGTCAGTGAAAACTACTTGTTCTGTAGGAAAGTGTGGCAGGTATATATATATAGACAATCATTGAAATATTAAGTTCAAATGCAACAAGAATCCCTTTCAACATTCTAATTTCTCTGTGGATTCTGGTTACAGAAAACATCATTATAAATGAAACCCCTGCAGCTGTGCCTCAAAGGTTTCCCGTAAGTACAGTAGTCTTCCTGATTAGATGAGATGTGATGTGCTGTTATTCTGGAGAGCATGTCTGCGGGGGGTCGAGCTATTGTTTCCAAAGTAAGAACAGAAGGAACGCAGAAGAGCTTGGAGGAGAATAAATCTGTTAACCATCAAAGACCCCATAAGGCTTGGCCAAGAAAACCTTAATACCCCAACAAGAAGAAACACAAGGCTTGCTTAAGGGCCGAGAGGGTGGCAGAATGAAGAAACATTAAGTTATTCAGTATCCAAAGATGGTTCTTGTTAAGGCAATGATTTACCGCGACCATAAACTAATAATGATGATGGTCAATAATCCAAAAGAGAAACAGCATTTCAGTTCACGTTTGTGACAGAAAATCAAACCGTGTGAAGTTGAACATGTTTAACACAGTGAACCACGCTTAAAGCGATGGTGTGAGTTTTCCCTGGTGATAAGGAGTAGTGCATGTCAGCAATAAGCCATGCAATTAGACTTACAGCCTCATAAAAGAACTTGGAGGTTCCAGAAAAAACGGGGGTGGAAATGACAGCATGTTCATTCAAATACTTAATTTAAAAATGTGATTGAATTATATTTGTTGGAGGACTTGATTAGCCATAGCCCTATTTCTAAAATCTGCTACATAATTTTTGAGTATCTTTCATTAGAAAATGTGTGTGTGTGTGTGTGTGTGTGTGTGTGTGTGTGTGTGTGTGTGTGTGTGTGTGTGTGTGTGTGTGTGTGTGTGTGCGCGCGCGCGTGCGTGTGTGCGTGTGCGTGTGTGTGTGTGTGTGTGTGTGTGTGTGTGTGTGTGTGTGTGTGTGTGTGTGTGACAGAAGACAGATGCAGCTCCAGGAGAACACAGGAGAAAAGCTGCTCAGATTCAGTAAAATGCTGATAAAAACAAAAAAATCCCCAGCAGCTCGTGTCCATCAAGAGCAGATTTTTTTTCTGTTTTCTTCGCACAGTCAGGAGCTCTGCCAAATCATTTTCCAAAGAACACTGAACTAAATGCAACAAATGGCACACAGCCGTGTCTAGCTTTAGAGGGTTTCTCCATCTGGTGGAACAAGTGATGAGTGGATGTGGCTCCAAGTACAGCCAAAACAAGACTCAATACCCCTCCTTGGGCTGCCACCTTACTGTGATGGAGCGGTTTGAATGTCCCAATAATCCTAGGAGCTAAGTTGTCTGAGGCTTTATGCCTCTGGTATGGTCACCCATGGCAAACAGGTCCTAGGTGAGGGATCAGTCAAAGTTGCGCCCACAGACCCTTTATGAAGAACAAGACAAATGGAAACAGTGTTCCCCTGCCCAGACGCGGGTCATCGGGGCCGCCCTATGGAGACAGGCCAGGAGGTGGGGCACGTCGGCAAACGCCTGTTGGCCAGGGGTGAAACCTCAGGTTTCACTCGAGGAGCCCGGCTGGGTCACACGCATATGGGAGAGCCAAAGGGATCGGGTGCAATGTGTGATTGGTGGTAGCCGAAGGTGGGGACCTTGGCGGTCAAATCCTCGAGAGGGTGCTCGCTGCGGAACCACAAAGGCAGAGCTGCACCAGTCAGCCCCACCCACTCACGCAAACAGCCTAGCCCACTGACTTTTTCTGTTTTTTTTTTTTAATATTATTTTATCGCAAACTAACCTGACCCACATGAATTACGGCTGTTACTAGTTTACAGTTGTTAATGCTATGTTCTATGCTCCAATTAAGCAAGACAAATATAACTTGCTACATGACAAAGCCTGAATATATCCTGAAAAGAAAAGGTTTCTTTTAGCGAATATTAGCCCATAGCTGCTCCAACAGAACCGGCCTACAACAGCACTTACTGTAAGGATAATTATTTAGTGGGCTATGGTAGTCTAGTGGCAAGATCGTCAAAATTTAAGTTTTGCTTTCCCCTCAGCTGATGCTGGTTCGACTCTTGGTGGGGTTGGCAGCAATCTATTTAACCAGCTGAAACATTTAATTTGTTTATATTTTAGTTGTAATGTTTATTTTCTGCAAAATATTTATGTCTCTACAAGTTCTTTGAATTTGGTCATTTCTAAACAGCATTTTAGTTGAAACTCTGCTCATAAATGGACTCACACTGGCTAAATAAATGAATAAATAAATAAAAAACACATTAGTCATATTTTAAACGGTATACCAATAAATGGTTGTAAACATAGTACTGGCAAGTGTAGCTAGAAAAGAAGAAAAAAGTTTGCGCCGCTACCGGGAGGCGAACCTGCGCAAAACTACATGCCAAGCTGACTGCCCAACCACTTCACCACTACATCTGGTAACAGGCTAGTGGCGTCACATGTAATTGTCCCATCCAGTGTGTTTTTGTAGACAGGATGTATGGTTTTTCGGCGGCGTCTCAGTAGAAGCCATTTCAGAAATAATTTGTCAGAAAATTCACAGAATATTCAGATTTGAGAACCAAGACCAGACCCGCTTCGGAGAAGAGGACCAAATTGAAGCTGAGATGGGAGGTAAATGTGTGAATGAGGCCAAAAATGGCTTTGGCGTGTTTCTCTAATTTCCCTCTGGGATTAATAAAGTATCTTTGATTGATTGATTATGAGGAAATGACAATATAAGATGATAAAAAGTTCCAAAAGTTAGATCTTTAATTATATGGAACCTTTACAAAAACGGTTCAAGTAACCTCTCGACTCAGTCCTCAATCTTGCATTTTGGATGATATATAACACCCTCTTTGGTTCCAGAATGCTATTAAGTCTGACAACTGGAAGGAATTGGACTGACTCTGATGGAATGGGCGGGGCTGATTCTGGAATGGGCGGGGCTGACTCTGGTGCAGCTCCGCCTTTGTGGTTCTGCAGCGAGCGCCACTTGAAATCCTCGGCTACAGAAGCTGGCTCTCGGTACGTGGAATGTTACATCTCTGGTGGGGAAGGAGCCTGAGTTGGTGTACGAGGTTGAGAGGTTCTGACTAGAAATAGTCGGACCCGCCTCGACGCATGGCAGCTGATGGGTACACAAGCGGAATGCAGCCCGGGTGGTCACAGAGGTAAAAACCCGGGCATGGGAGGAGTTCGATGAGACCATGGAGCAAGACTTCCATATGGCTTTGAAGAGATTCTGGTCCACCATTCTGCACCTCAGGAGACAAAATCAGTGCACTACCAACACTGTTTATAATGGGGACAGTTTGCTGCTGCAGAAAATGGATGGAATGGATGGACAAGACTCCATATTGAACCACTGGTGCTTTCTTAGGAGTGATGACATGGTTACATGAAGATGGACTAACCATTTAAACAGTTTAGAACATGGAGGGAAACCAGTGTTTTTACTATTACCTAAATCCTTTATGAAGTCCGCAAATATAAAAAAAAAAACATCAAATGGTATAGATTTAGGTTAAAGTAGGGGCAAGATAGCCTTCAAAATACAGATAAATACTAATAAAAGATACTTAGGACCGTCAAATGCCTTGTTTTATCTAATGAGGACTAAGGTGAGGAATCTTTGCACAATACATTATGTAAATTATTGTAAACATCCTTTTGAATGTTGGAGATAGGCACCAGCTACCTGCAAACCAGTCTAAACAGCTCAGAAAATTAATAAATAGGGTAATAAAGACCAGAGTGAGGACAGAACAAGAAGAATAACTTTATCAAGATTGTGAAAACAAAAGCAGTTCATCAAAACGTAAAATAAACTCCCTAAAAAGCCTCAATACGGTGATTTGGGAAGCTGTCAGATATAACGTGGATATCTGAGAATATGACCATAAAATGCCAGTGGACATTTATTTATCTGGACAAGGTGATCATGATAAAACATTTAATAAATGATAATGAAAAAATACATTGACAATTCTTAAAGTCATAGCATACTGTACTTATCAAAAGACAGACGTGTGAAAACCAAGTCCAACACATTTTGCTAACTTTCTTTGTAAGTAAAAATTAAAATTATCATCTTCTAATGACTTAATCAATTTCAAATAATAAACTTAAAATAAATTTGGAAGTGTTTTCATGCACCTTCACAGATATTAGCATTAACATCTGTTCATCTACTGCTGATGTTTCTAATTTGTTTGTTGTTTTGCTTTTATTTACTGGCTGCGTCTACCTGATTTTAAACCCCGGAGAGAAAAATAAAATTTCTGACTAAGTCCTAACCCTTCAAAGTAGAGCTAAAGATATAATCTAGCGTTACCACGAACGAACTAGCAGCAGCTAGGTTAACTAGTTCTCAGATGTCAGAGCTGTTTGTAAACAAAAGTCGGATGCCGACACGTGAGAAGATGAGCAAAAAAAAGCTCGTTCGCATAAAAAAGACACCATGATAGTTTTTGCCCTACCTCCAGTGGTACCGGATCACGTTGGTAGCTGCTTTTTAAGGAAAAATCCAAGTTTTCACTCTTTTAGCAACTGTTTTAAGATTCAACCGGCGCCTGCGATGTGACGTCATCAGCAAGCGACACAATAGAGCTGTATTTTTTTCAAAGGCATGTGAGATCAAATAGCTGTAATTTATTTATTTATTTATTTATTTATTTATTTATTTATGTTTTTGGTAGACATTTTAGCTGTTAAGTATTAAAATCTAAACAATTGTACTACCATTTGTGAAGTTTTTGGAAATTTTTGATGTTTTCTTTAGATCCCACATTAGTTGCAGTAGTGCAGAGATTAAACCCTGTGGAACACCACAGGAAAAAGGAGCCGGAGTGCACAAAAAAGTTTCTAATATTTACAAAGAAACTTTCATCATTCAGATAATAAAACCAATCCAGTTACCTCTGATCCCAATTAACCCACTGTTAGTGGGTAGTCATGGATCCTTCAGTGGCTACACTGTTAAAACCCTAAAATGGTTTTTCAGTGCTGTCTAGATGTTTGAAGTAAGAATGAAAACCCCCCACAATATAATTAAATTTTTATTTTTCATGACGGTATTTATTTGGCCATATAGGTAGTGTTTTATCTGTACTTCAATAGACAGGATCTTCATGGTAAACACAAACCACTTTACACCATCTTGCCAAGTTAAGAATTTGTTGAGATTATAGACATTTTGATCAAAGCACTAACCGTCACACAAACTGTAGGTGTGATTGGTTCATGGCTTTATCATTAGAAACACAGGAATAGGGGTTTTTGATATCAGATTATGAAATCACCTCTGAAGTTCGATGAGGTATGATGACATGGACATTAGACACACATTTATCATGTGAAGACAAAAACAGCTGGTTGAAATCTGACTTGGTCTCAGTCTGAACACCAGCCGTCAGAGACGGTGAAGGAGAAAAGCGTCAGATCATGAGTTCTTCCACACCGTCAACATAAAGAACAGTTTTAGGAGCAGATACTCTAAAATCTGTTTGGCCACAAATTGACTGGCAGACACAGCAAGTCAGAAAGGGGGTTGTTTTATTGTAATGTAGCATAGTAAAATCTGAGCCACAACAAAATTTCAATATTCTTCAGCTGTTTTTAGACCAATAATAACATCAACCATTGATTAAACTAATAAAACTAATACAGAAAACTAGTGTTTTCTCAGACATCTGGAAGCCGTCTCAGCTAACTGCATGAGGCTGGATTCAGCATGCCAGTGAGTAGGACCTTTTTTTATTGCAGAAAAGCATATTTACATTATAAATAAGGCGAACATGCCAATGTATTCAGATGAGAATCGAACAGTCAGTGAAAAGGGGGAGGACAAAAAAAAATACACAAAAGCAAACAATGCAAGGGATCACTACACAGTTCCAGGAAGTCTACACAACAGTCTATACATATCTTCATAGCTGTTATTATTGACAAATTTAAGGGATCTTAGATACAATCTAAAATCATGTTCAAATGCATTAAACACAGGGGGTGATTTCAGTATTTTTTGTTTATGTATGAAGAATTTTGCCAGATAGAGAAGTAGATTGTAGCAGAGTTCTTGGTTGTTTGTTTGAAGGAGAGTTCCAAAGGTGACGACATCTCTTGAAATGGGACATGGGATTCCAATTTGAGGTTGAATCCAGTTTTCAAAACAGTTCCAAAACGTCCGTGTCTTGTTGCATTCAAAGAAAATATGATCAGTTGTTTCAACATCCTTCTCACAAAAGGAACATGAATTATCATCAATGTTAAAACGTTTTCTGAGCAGATCCTATGAGGGATAGACATTGTTTAAAATTTTAAAATGTGTTTCTTTGACTTTAGGTTGAATAGGAAGTTTTAAATAAAGAATCCTTAGTTTAATAATGGAGCTTTTACCAAATTTGTAAATTATGTTGTTCTTGTTGACTTTACAAGGGTATAGTTGATCAGTAAAACACCGTCTAATAAATTGGGTGGTACACTTTTTATCCATAAGGGGAACACCTTGGATGGAGATAGAACCATACTGTGGATTTATAGGTTGGTGTTGAATAATGTTTCTGTACTGGAAGACCACCTCTTTAGGAAGCGCAGTTAATAATTTTATGAAATCAGATTTAGGAGGGCTAAAGTTATATTTAAGTAAGTAAGTAAGTAAGTAAAAGTTTATTTATATAGCGCCTTTCACAGATATAAATCACAAAGCGCTGTACAACATGATAAAGATCAGGGCAAATACCTCTAACCAATAAAAACATCAGAAAAACAATAGCAGTGATAAAATAGAAAATTAAATCATGAGTATAAACAAAGTGAAGGTGTGAACCCGAACAAAGCCATCTTTTTGAAACATTTAGGGAGGGAACGCCTGGATGAAAAGGTGAGTTTTTAGATGATTTTTAAAGACCTCTACAGTGTTAGAGAGATGGAGTTTTGAAGGTAGACTGTTCCAAAGTCTGGGTGCAATAGTCTGAAAGGCCCTGTCCCCTTTGGTTTTCAGTCTGGTTCGAGGAACAGCCAGGAGGTTTTCAGATGTGGATCTAAGGTTCCGAGAGGTGGTGTGTGGGGATAAAAGCTCAGATAGGTAGCTTGGAGCCTGGTTGTTAAGAGCTCTATAGGTCAGCACTAAAACTTTAAACTGAATTCTATATTCTACCGGGAGCCAGTGGAGGGACTGTAAAACTGGAGTGATGTGAGCTCGTCTGCTGGATTTGGGTAGGAGTCTGGCTGCTGCGTTTTGCATGGCTTGAAGGCGTGAGAGGGAGGTTTTGCTGAGACCAGTAAAAAGAGCGTTACAATAGTCTAAGCGTGATGACACAAAGGCATGGATGATTTTTTTTCCAGATCTGCAGTAGAAACCAGTTTACGGACTTTTGAAATGTTTCTCAGTTGAAAGAAACAAGAGCGGGAGATGGTTTTGACGTGTGAGTCTAAACTTAAAGCTGGATCAAAAATAACTCCTAGGTTTCTAATGTTGGCCTTGGGGGATGGGCAATAAGAGGCAATTTCTTGCTCGATTTTTGGCTGAAGTTCCGGGGGTGCAGCGATCAGGGTCTCTGTCTTGTTAGCATTTAAGACAAGAAAGTTGCTGGACAGCCAGTTACTGACCTGGGTCAGGCAAAGTACAAGGGTGGCCAGCCTGTCCAACTGGTGTGGCATAAAGGAAATATAGAGCTGAATATCATCAGCATAGATATTTAAGACAAAATTCATCTTACCCTAGTGGTTCACCATTATCTTTCATCAAGTGTACAACAGACCAAATTTTCCTATTCATCCAATCTTCATTAAACAGTGACCAATTACGGCATAATACATATCTATTGTTCCAAATTTTAGAAGAGTGAGGGGAATAATTATGTACATACAACAACTTCCAATACATTAGTTCTTGTTTGTGGAACTCTGATAATTTTGTGGGCAGTTTGTTTATATCAAAATCTGAAAACAGTAAAATTTTTAGACCACCTATTTTGTTAAATATATGACTGGGGATAGAATACCAGAAAGCGTTCGGATTCTTGAGCCATAGTTTTAGCCAATTAATTTTGAGTGTTCCGTTAAGACAATTGAAATCTATTACTTTTAAGCCTCCATCTTTAATTTCTTTGACCATTTGATCTTTCTTTATATAGTGTGGCTTATTTCTCCAAACGAAGTTAAAATTGATGGTGTTAATCTTTTTAATTAGGCCGTTTGAAATTGCAGTATTGCAGGTTGGATAAACTAATCTAGATATACTCTCCATTTTGGTTAAATAAATGCGCCCTAATATGGAGAGATCCCTCTGAAGCCAAATATTTAGTTTGGATTTAATTCCATTAAGTTTATTTGTTATGTTTGTCCTTAGGTTAAATTGTTGGTCTTTAGAAATATATGTTCCTAGATATTTAATTTCAGATTTGATGGGAATGTTACAAATTTCTTTTAGAGGGGAGTCATGAAAAGCCAATAGTTTGCATTTTTTCAAATTTAGCTGTCAGTGAGTAGGACCTGGCTGCAGACATCAGCTGGCGTGTCACGGGAAGAACTTTCTAGTGAGAACAAGATGGCGTGTCATTACTTTTACCGAAAAATCGACGAGCGAAAAACCTCGGCCGGAAGTTGGTCTTTTTTGGCGGCCGCTTTTGTTTCAACCATACTCAGCGGGTTTCAAAGAGGAAAGGTAAGGATGAAATTAACTAATTGTTGCAACTGTTCTTAGTTCTTAAATGTAGGCACTATAGCATTTAAAGCGTTACCAGAGAATTACTACATTTCATAGCTAATTGTATCAATATTAAAACGCCAGGGTTTCCCTTACATAGGCGTAGCCGTGACGGGCCGCCACGGCTGAAATCCCACCGCCACGCCTACAAGATCCCAAGTTTTATTTATTTATTTATTTATTTATTTATTTTGCGCTGTTTCCCTTAGAAGCAGCAGGAACTACTATGTTGTTGCTTGTGATCACAGCCGGCAGGCAGCAAGGAGGAGCAGGCAGGACAAGGTGAAGTTACAGCATAAGTTACTGAGTTTAAAATTAGAAAGGTAGCAGTGGATATAATGCTTTTACGTTTACATGTTTCAATAGCATTAAGATAAACGAGTGTTGACGATCTTGACAGGGTTTCCTCCAGTGCTTATTAGGCCAGGTTCTCCTCCCCCCACCAGGCTAAGCATCACTTATTCATGTAAAATTTATTTATTTTTTCGTGTCTGACTTTAACCGCATCTAATACTGTATTACGGCGTGAGCGCAACAGCGACAACTTAAGATCGATGTGTGAGCAGCCTGAGAGGTCGGGTGTTTCATCTGAACCCTTAAAACCTCCAGCAGGCTACCCTGCACTATTGACGTGTTAGCGCGCGGCGCTAACAACTTAGCGACGTGACATGTCTCGGAGAAAGCGTAAAAACACGTTGGACGCTTCTTCTGAAGCGGGAAAATAACACTTCTTAAGCAGAGCACGACGTCGCCTCGGCTCGTTCACCCTCTGCCGAGCCAGACTGAGCTCGATAACAACTTGACCCAGCATAGCCCCTGGGTCGTTGGAGCTGCCCCATGACTGCCTGATGGAAAACCAGCGGGTTTCATCAGACTCATAAAGTTTCTTGTTTTTGCCGGGGACCCCCTGTATTTTAC